ACCTGCGGGGAACTCTGCAAAAAACGCATCTTCGCATGGGCAGCCCGTGCGTTGGCCATTTATTTCACTTCGTTCAGTGAAAATATTGGAAAGCAAAACTTGCTTGTAAAATATAGTAGCCGTACAAACGGCGAAAAGTGAAAACGGCTTCAAGCTGATCCCAGAGCCCAGCTGTATAAACCAGAGTTTGATTCCTATTTGCTGTCTGGATAAGTTCAAAGTCGGGAAGATTTTTGCTGTTTGGGTCCGGTATTGATATCGGCTCCCAATCACGCCATATTATACGTACTTCCGCTGTGTTATACGAATAACTCTGAAAATTGCCAACAGATCAGTTTTCACTAAGAACAAGGGATAAAAACAAATTGGTGGTAATGCGATCAAGGAGACGCTGAAAAGCTATAAATGGCTTTAGCTACATGCTGAAAAATGGTTCGATCCACTAACTCGTAAAAAATGAGTTTGTGGACATTTTTTTGAGAGAAGTTGGTTATAAATTTGCTTCAGTGGCCTTCACCATCCACTACAACAACTTATTTTCGTTGTTAGCTCTCAAGGATGTAGTGATAAAGCCACGAAAACAAACGAAACAATTACAACAAAAAATTTTAGCAGTCTGATCATGAAAATAAAAATAATTTTTTGCTGGTACTGTTCTGTGCATTCACTGCGAAATTAACAACAGCTGATTTTTAACAACAGGATGTAATCAAGTCATTTTTAGCACAGCTTTCTAAGTTATACAGCTATCAACAAAAAAGACATCTGTACCGCATAACAGTCTTGGAATGAAAAAGTATGCTAAATATGGGTCTTTAAGTAGTAGGTTAAGATGCGTAAGATTTTAGCGCTAATTTCGAAACTGGAACTAATATCACAAATTTTCCTTTTCAAGCGTTTGTTGCTAACTTCTACGCAGGCACACGTGCTAAAGCGTCTTAGGTTAAAAAAAATCAAATTTCCTTCGTGTTTGCCTCCTGTGAGTGACAGAAGTACTCAAGATGCAACCTAAACGGCAGCAAATGCTAACAACAACACACACCGGCGCGGATGACGTAGCAGTCTCTTTCGACGGTTGCCAGCAAATGACTTGATAGATTCCCTGTTTAGTGTCATTGGTAGGCCTAAGTTTTCAAGTTTCTAGCTTCCTTTGCTGAGCTCTATGCAAACACCGATGCATGGCCTCTTCATTTGCATGTATAAAATACACGAAAACGCAATATTCGAGAAAGGCAGTACCTCGAAAATAAGGCTACAGTGCTGCGTATCCATTGGAAAATATGTTAGATCAAGTTGGCACGGTCCCTGCAAACTAACCCTGAAAATTTGGGTAGTACTTTAAAATACTGATATTCCAAACAAAACTTAAAATTATTATAGCAGCTTCGTTACTCAAAAAATACAAATTTTAAATACGGTAAACATTGCACCTCTAGAACAATTTTTTGAATTATTTGTTTTCACCTGATATAAGATATTAGTTTTTTACTGCTCCATGGATACGAAAAGCTTAAAATAAAAAGGAATGGAGAGTTTGCCAGCTGCACTAATGGCAAGAAGGGACGTGTCGATAAAGCAGCTCCTGATTCAAGTATGACAGCATGGTTTATTCATTTTTGTCTGAATAGGGCAATTTTTGTGAGTGGCTTCAAGCGTGCCAGTAAGTCAAATACCAAGAATACTAAGACTGTTTGGATGGCGATTTGTGCTTGGACAATCGCAGTGGGTATTTCATACCAGTATGCTCCTTTACTCCGGGCACAACTATATCCGGTCCTTTAGTCCTGGGCTGCAAACCTATCAAGGAACATGTTTTTTATTTTCCATTTTCAAATTTCTTCTAAGTTCTTATGCAAAGGAGGGTTTTAAAAAAAAGCTTTGATTTTGCGTACATTATACGTGTTAAGAGTCTTATCAAATTCGAGGATGGAGATGCGCACTCCCTCCTGCTTTTGTAGAAGCCAATAAACTCATCAAGCTGAAGTGATTTAACAGAATTTAAATAATTTAGAATAAGTATAGTGGAAATTGATCAATATTGCTCATGATATAGAAAAACCATTCGGGAAAAGACTGAAAAAAGAGACTGAAAGTTAGGCTAAAAGGTGCTGCGCTACAAAATCAGCGAAACACTACCGTATTTGGGCTAAAAAATGCGATTGGAAACGTGAAATTCCTGCGTAAAAATGAACGGACCAATTATGATGCGTAATTAAACTAATCTGCAAAAAAAGCAACGATTTCACGACATTTTTGTTATATGTTGACTAGGTGAAGCCTTCTCTTGTGCATTTTGGTAACGTCAGAAGAAAATTTCTGAATCCAAGAATTAGAACTTTTAAGCTGGAAACAAGCTCCAGCTTTAAAAACTGACAGAAAAATACCTGTAATTGAGCCAAACGGTTCCATTCGGAAATACCATGAGAAGGATATTCTGAGACGGCGATGCATGGATTGTGACCTTTTTACTGTTCACAAGGCAAACATTCGGTGTCCATAAGTGTGGCAGTTTGTGCGCCGCTAGCGAAAGATTCGAAAGGCAGAAGTTGTGATGCTAAATATATTACAGTTGTTATAGTTTTTTTTCTTTTTTTCACGAATTGCAGTGTTACGTTTGGTTGTATCATCATTCCCCATTTTTTCCTTGATAAAAACTAGACCCATGAAGTTGTTGATCTACCAAATCAATCAATGGAATTTTGAAAGGGGTCACAAAGCCTACATGAACCGATTTGATGTTATTTTTTTCGCCGCATGGAGCACAAAATTAGTCTTTTATTCGAAATTTCTGTGCTGTTTCGGATTGCTATCATTTCTGGAAGCGAAATTTCCTGTTTTTTGTTCTGTTGTGTGATGAAAAGATTCGAGCAGAATTCATAGCAATAATGCTTCCAGACCAGGCTGTCCGAGCAAATAGAGAAATATCCAAGATTTTTCTGTGTAGTGGAACCAATCAGTTCACTTCAAAGGCAACGAATTTTTCGCTGTCCAATGATTCAAATCAGGCTAACATGGCAAGTAATGAGTTTTGGGTACCATTTCCGAACTGTATTAATCAAGCCCCTTGTTATTACGGAATAGTGTTGCCTCTTAGTCAACGAATACGTCAAATATTTTGAGATGGTGAACAGTGACAAATGTGCAGAAAAACTAAGCTGAAGTGTGGGAAGCTGTGTGAGAAGCTTAGAACAACACGACACAACCTTACGACAGTCTGTGGAAGGAGAATCAACAGAAACCAGCAGAACAGTAAAACTTTACAAACTGTGGATAATTGCAACAAAGTTTTATGTGATTACCAATATTATTATTGTCATTATCACTGTTATTATAATTACTGCCAATATTATTATGTTTTATTATTATAATATCACTACTCACTTTATCCTGATATTACAGCTTTATTATTTTTAGTAATATCATCAATAATTTTTTTTTATTATTTCATCATTATTTCTATTCGTATTATATAGGTGATGTTTGAACAATATGCAGATGGTCCAAAAATGCAAAATGCATTTATGACTTATAGCACTTCTGTCTGCTGATTCAGTTTCAGCCTTCATTTCTTTGTAAAATTCCGCACATCCTGTTTTTTCTCTACCCCTCTTTTTTGTTCCACTGCTTTACATAGTTCCTCCTAAAACTGTTGCGGCTTATACTGCACGGCAGTAACACCTGCAATAATTACTACTCATACGAAATATATATGGCTTGAGTTAGCGGTCTGTGCTTTTCATTCCTTATTTGTAGACAGAGGATCTGATGCGATTTGGAGCGAGAGTCATCAGAAATGCCTCCAACTCGCCATGTATGAAAAGGATAGATAAAATAAGCGTAACAATGGAAGTAGAAAAGAAGAAATGAGAAGAGGTGGAAGGAGAAGAGAAGAGAGTATAAATGTAAGGGCAGTATCCAAGAAAGCAAGAGGAAATATTGGAAGCGCTCATCGAGTGTCGATGTTTTGGGTGGCCACAGGACAGGATCACTGGTCGACAGTTGATCCAAACGATTTGAAAAATGAATCAGGAATTTTACAGAATAAAGTTAATGGCTTCTCATTTTAAGCACTAAATTGTTAGGTGGCGTGAAAACAGAGAAGTGATTTCGCGCGTTTTTATTTCGTTGCCATGACGTCGTTCGAAACCACCTCTTTTGTAAAGCCAATGAATTTCGAATGTCACCGTACCTGTCAAATGATTAGCAAGCCAAAAGCACATCTAGGCACCTCGTTGTCACATGCAACAGCGAATGAGACTAATTTCCGAAAAAGCTCGCAGTAAAAACTGACCGGCAAGATGGAAAGCCAATTTGGTGCTACCTGTCTTGCTCAGTCTGGCAAGAAAGGTAGCACCAAATCGGTTCAGGACCGTATTTCAACAATACTGGTGTGAAGGATACAATTGGATTTGCTTATGACATTTGCCGGGCACGTGCAGAGAAAAAAGGATGCCATCTTCGCGCTACCCACAATTTCCGAATTGGCGAACCAACGGCAAGTGAAGAAAAGAGTTTTTCGTACAAATTTTGTCCGTGGGAGCGGCTCGCAAGGGAATGGTATTTACGCAACTGACGTCTCCATGGGAGGGAGAGGAGAAACGAGGTCGGCATCCATGATTCTGAGATCCAGTAACGATTTCGCAAATCTAAAATTTAGTTCCTGAATCTTCTGCTTCTGGTCTTTAGTCTTAACGCATGCTAACTTTTTCATGTTAAGAAAACTGAAGTACTAAAATTCTAGTTTACAGCAG